TTTCTTTCTTTCCCCACTAGCAATTTCCTCCAAGTATAATTTGAAATATGATGGACGCTCAGATGGGGGTTGCCTGATGTCCAGAGGCATTTTGGAACCCCAGGCCTTGCAACAAGTGGGCCGTGGCCCCTGAAGCTGCCTTTGGAAGTGATGGGCAAAACTTCCCCGGGATTTGCAACCCCAGAAAAAGAAAAAGAAATAACTGACTGATCTTGCAGTTGGGCGTTGGCTGTAGACACTTGCTTTATTTTCAAACAGGTACGGAAATGAAGTCAGGAGCTGGTATGGAAACAGGTACGGAATTATGAGTGAAGGTGACTCTGTGAACTGATCTCCCCCATCTCCCAAGCTAACCCCAATGAAACAGTTATGCCACGTCCATTAAAAGGAGGTAAAAGGATGCCTGAGAGAGGAACCATTGTCGGAAGGGTTGGTTAGCCTTCAGAATCCTTGGGTTCTTTAAAGTTCTCCCATCCCAAATCCTACTGCTTTTTTCAATGGGATAGTGCTAAAATTCACACTACGACTACCGAGGTGTTGAATTGATGAGCATGAAGAAGAGGATATCTTACTTATCCTTAGACCCAGAGCTGGAAAATGCCCGTGAATGGCCTATTAACATGTTCTTTAAGCCATGTTCCACCGATTGAACCTCATCTCTAAGATGAATGCTGGCATGTCAAAACGACCACAAGCAAAATTCAATTTCAGGTATAGCCTATACCTCCCTCTTTTGCTAAACTAACAGCGATTGTCTCCCGGAGAATTTACTGACTGCATTTGGCACGCTTGTGGGAATCCAAGGAATTGATCGTGGTTAGTTCTGGTTAGATACTTTGGGGGGGGGGAACAAAGATGACAGTTCCACTGTAGGAATGATTTTGCTGACTTAAGTTTACCATGTTTCTGAAAACTGCTTTTTGCAAGCTTCTACCCATCCCATCATCCCGCTTTGCTCTGGGCTACTTTGTTTGCATGAGCCCCATCACAAACCATCTTCTCTCAGTGTCTGCGTTGGTTATTAGGACCTCACCTTCCCTTCATAAGAGCTTCTCACTTACCTCTGGATCAGCCTGTGTATTGCTCTGAAAGCTTGGCTGGCAGCATCTTTCCTGTTCCACCTACCCTGCAAGGTGGTTAAGAACGAGAACAGGAAAAATGGTTTCTCCCCAAGCTCACATCCCCTTGGGCCTAAACTGCCATGGGTCATTAGCAGAGGGAATGGGGGGGGGGTCACCATTCAAAGCAGGTGGCCATTGCTACGTTCTTTTGGCATTTCACTCTCTCTCCTCTGACCTCATCTCCCTCATCCATCAGGCTGCCAGGGAAAAACAAGATTATTCCGATCAAGAACCTGGAGGATCGTTGTAGGTGGCTTTCAAAATTAAGCCAAAGAGCCACGCATGACTTTAAATCTGCATGGTTGACAAGGTCATTCATGACGGTGATGATGGTGGTGGGCAGGGGGGGGAGAGGGGAGGTGTCAAAAATGGCAAGATGGCTTCTGCAGCCATGTAATCCACGCCCTGCTCTTTTCTTGTGTGTAATGGGCAGAAGGAATAACCTTGAGGAACAGGAGGAAGAACCGCAACCAAGACAATGGTGAGATAAAAGAAATATGAGTCCGGGACAGGAATGTAATTTGAGAAAACATCAGACACAACCCTCCCTTTTTCTGATAAAGAAAAAGGGAGGGTGGTGGAAGATTGATTAAGACTTGCAAGATTCTGTTACTATAATATTTGATAATACAGGTAGCCCTTGACTCACAACCATTCATTTAGGGACGGAATCTACAACAGCACTGAAAAAGTGACTTAGAACCAGTCTCACACTATGGACATCACACCATCAAAACCCAGGTGCTTGACAACTAGTGTGTATTTACAATGGTTGCGACATCCCAGGGTCATGTGATCACCCTTGGTAACCTTCCTTCCTGACTGGTTTCCAGATTCACTTAAAGACCTGTGATTAACTTAACAACTGCACTGATTTGCTGAACAACAATGGCAAAAAGGCCACAACAAGTCACTTAACGACTGCCTTGCTTAGCGATGGGAACCCTGCTCTCAACTGTGATCATAAGTTGAGGACCACCTGTATTATACTTTATAATATAAGTAGTATTAGCTTGCATGTCTATGGTTTTTGAATTTGGTCCACCTTAGAGGGCCGACACACACATTAAAAGGGGAGGAGCAGGGCTTCAATCACACAGTTGTGGATGCCATCTTGATTTTTTTTTTTCCTTTCCGCCCACAGGCACCATCGCTTTCATTTATTCGTTTGATACACTTGAAATATTCCCAGACCTCTTTTAAGGACAAAGGTGGCTTATAAACAATAAATCCATGGCTATAAAAGCACAATAAAAAATAAAGGTAACAGTAAGAACAAGGAGCAGTTAAAACAACCCATCCCGTAAAGCAATCTCAAACAGGTAAAAAACAATTCAACAAAACCCATTTACGTATTAAAAGCCAGCTGGAAACTTTTCTGAAAATTTGCAAACGGTGGATCATAATTAATTCTGCAGGAAATTTGGCCCTCAGTAACATAACGAGAACCAAGAGATGGATCAAGATCTCGAATATTGGCAGAAAAAAAGATGCAAACAAACCAACCAACCAACAAAAAGGAACTATCAGAAATCTTTGATACGTAAACCAACCTGGGATGTGTTGGAAAAGCTGAATATTGGAAAAGCTACATGCATTCTGTAACCTGCAGTTTTCAAAATTTGGGGGTTAGGGTTCTCACACACACATATACACATACCCCTCAAATAGACAAACAATAAATATATTTTAAAAATGGACAAAAATGTATAGATCAGTGGTTCTCAACTGCAATGTCAAGGGCTTGGAGAAATGTTATGTTATGATTTACATCTTGAGTTACATCTTGGGGTAGCCACAAAAGGTATTTAAAGGGGGTCCATGGTGAAGAAAAGGTTGAGAACCACTGGTGTAGATTAAAAAGCATAGAAAAACTCAGGTTGGTAGGGATGTAGAATTGTAGGCCCACTATCAGTTTTACCCCTCTGAGGCGGGTGCTGTTTCACTCTCGCCTTAGAAAAGAACACCTGATTTATCCGATAGCCATGAAAATTCCACCCTAGATCTTTCCACAGCCCTTTCAAGCACACAAAATAACACAAACAACAAGGACGGTGAAAACTCATCATCCTTCTGATCCAGATAGCAGCAAATAGCTATTTGCCCTACACAAAAGAACTGAAACGCATATAAAGCGCCATGCCCTTGATATTGTCCCTTCGTCATGAAACCACACCTCTAATCATTCCCCGATCAGACACACAAAAGCGTGGGAAAGGGATGAAAAGCAGAAACATGAATGGCGCCATTAAGACGGAAGAGGCTGCATCTCACACACCGTAGATCCCTAACCGCAGTGCGGGCAGAGAAAGGAAAGTTGCTACATGGCATCTGCTGGTGTCTCTGTTGTTTGCTGAGACACCTGCAAGCAGAGGGCATTTTAACAACAAGAGTTGCTGTCATAGATCCGAAATAACTACAGTTGCTTTCTCACATTGGATGGAAGAAGAGCCCTATTTCAACTGCAAAGGAAAACAGTGGATAGATAATCCTTGAGTGACAACCATTCGTAAGAATGAGGCATCACCGTCTGAAGTTACGACAGTGCTTGTAAAACCGAGTGATGAACAGCCCACACCCTTACGACTATTGCAGTACAAGTAGTCCTCAACTTACATCCGTTCAGTCTCTGTTTGACGTGACAACCCCTCTGAAAAAAAGTGACTTACCACCATTTTTCACAGTCATTGCAGCATCCCCATGGTCAACATTCAGATGCTTGGCAACTGATGTGTATATTTATGACGATTGCAGCGTCCCGGGACCATCGGATCCGCTTTTGCAACCTTCTGACAAGCAAAGTCCATTGGGGGAAGCCAGGTTCACTTAACCGCCATGTTACTAACTTAACAGTTGCAGTGATTCACTTAACAGCTGTGGCAAGCAAGGTCATAAAAAGGGGGAGAAACCCACTTAACAACTGTCTCGCTTAACAACAGCCATTTTAGGCTCAGTTGCGGTCGTACGATGAGGGCCACCTGTATTCCTGCAATTATGTGATTAAAATGTGAGTGCATTTACGGCAATTGCAACCTCCTGGGGTTACGTGATCACCCATCTGCAACCTTCCCAGGAGACTTCGGACAAATGGCGTCAATGCGGGAAGCCAAATTCGCTTTCATGACCACATTATTCGCTTAACAAACAAAACAAATCACTTAGTGACAAAAGTTCTGGTCCAAATTGTAACCTGAGGACTACCTGTAAGTTTAGGGCTGTCGGACTCAGAAACGAGCGTGATTGAGTCATAGAATCTCAAACCTGATTTGGTATCTTGATGATGAAAATTTTATATTGCCACCGTTTTCTTATCAGTAGAGCATTACCTGTGAGAGCATACTCACTATAGAAACAATCAAGGTTCATGTATAAGAGGATAAACTTTCCACTGATTTGGCTTTAACAATTCTCTTTGCACTGTGGAGAGATTCTATGTTCTCAGGTTCTTCACTTCCAGCTAGGCTTCCAATATTCCATCTGGAATTATTCTTCAAACCCCACAAGCAATGGTGATGCTTTCCGAATCCAATAACAGAAAGTGGCCGGAATCAAAACTGGGCAAGACCATCCTGACCAGCAAGCTATCAACTGAGAGACAGTTCAATCTTTGGTATGAGCCATGGTGGCGCAGTGGTCAGAGTGCAGTACTGCAGGCTACTTCTGCTGACTGCCGGCTGCCAGCAGTTCGACAGTTTGATTCTCACTGGCTCAAGGTTGACTCAGCCTTCCATCCTTCTGAGGACAGTAAAATGAGGACCCAGATTTTTGGGGGCAATACGCTGACTCTGTAAACTGCTTAGAGACAGCTGTAAAGCACTGTGAAGCAGTATATAAGTCTAAGTGCTATTGTTATTGCTATCAAATTATGGGTGACGTGAAAGCAAGACAAAATCATAGCAATACACCAAACCGTTTTTTTAATATATCTGCAATCCTACTGAAAATCAATGAAGTTGTCAGGTGTTCCCACCCATGTGTTCTGTTTACCTATCCAAATGTGGACAGCAATAGTTTATGCTAATTGACATTTTTAGCATCTTCAAGGGCAATGCTAAGAATAATGCACTGAACTGTGTAAACTTGAAGTCACCAACAATGAATGAACAAGACCAACTTTCCATGTTGCAGCATTGGTTCATGAATCTGATATGGGCTTGTTGTTGTTCTTTTTTGCTTGTAAATTATCCACTTTTTTTCCAAATCACAAGTGAATCTGTGCGGAGAATTGAAAATGTCCAATCTTTCATCGAACTAAATTTCACCATTTTTGATGTTTTTCTTGTGAATTATCCATTTTTTCCAAATGACAAGTGAATCTGTGCGGAGAGTTGAAAACGTGCAGGCTTTCATAGAACTAATATCTCAATTGTTGATCCGTCACATTTCAGTCTGGACATTTAAGTTTGTGCTGAGAGGCTGGAAATGTCTGGTTCTCCACATCCTTTCAGCCACCAGTTAACAAATTTGAAGAAGAAAAAACTGTCAACATAATACAATCCCTTGAATTCTTATCCTGATCAGTGGATCTTTTTCTTTCCCAAATATTTGTTTCCTTCTTCCCATATATAGTTTGGGATCAAGGTTGTCCTAAGATATTTTACTGCCCCAAACAGAAAGATGTGGGGTTTTTTTCCCTCCCTTTTCTGGCAACAGAAGCTAACTGAATCAATGGTTAAATCTTCCCTTCTTATTATCCTGGTGGGAGAACGCCATTTTGTACTGCTCTTTTATGAACCCAGGAGAGGCAGAAATGTCTCCAGACTCAGAATGAAGTGTTCAAACAAAAAGCAAAACAGAATGACTTAGGGCTCAGCCAAAGCTGTTGACGTTACTTTTCCTCAACATCTACCACTTTACATAATAGTAGGGCTGGTCATGGGATGGAGAAGGTAATACCAAGTGAAGAAATAGCAATATATTATTTATCCCCCAGGAGTGTAAGACTATTTGAGTAGATTCTCCTGCAGCCGAAGGATGGAAAAGCCTTTTTTCCCCCTCCTTTCACGTCACGTACCATTTCTTCATCAACCTTTCACAAATATAACTTGCAATCATTCGTATGGGGGTGCGGGGACTCTCTGTATGGGCTCTGAAATCTAAACACTGGCTGGATTATTGGGAGGGATGGAGAATGACAGCAAAGTTGAATTTTTGACAGCTGCTAGTTTTATTTCATGTTCCTATATTTCATTCCCACTTCCTCGGGATCATTTTTGACAAGCAACAATTAATTTAGACAGCATGTCCTCAACCCAAAGTACCGTTCAATCATAATCCGTTACAAAGCAGAAGCTAAGCAAGAACTAGCCAAGGATTTTAAAAATTTGCATTGAACTTTTCAAAAACTCACCCAATTTTTATCCCGTGCATTGAGTCGTTTTATGATAGCAGGGTAGGAAATGTTTGGCTAACTTCCTTCTGGAGAAGGCCTGTCTCTGTGATCACTATAAATAAAATAAATAAATACATAAATAATCATTTCATTAAGAAGACAGATGAAGAGCACATGAAGAGCCACACCTAGGCTCAGGAACATAACTACCAAACTATGGTTTGGAAGCATGCTTGAACCAAGAACTATGACGACATCCTCAGATGTCATCCTAAATCACGGTGTATAAAGACCAGCAAGTCTTAGCTTGCAGATTCTCCATCCTCAGGACTGATTCACGAAGGGGATGCTTTTAATACTTCCTCAAATTAAGATGTAACCAGATGTTGCTTTACAAGTAGAAGTGGATGCTTTCAATCTTCTCCAAAATTGCAATAACAAAGAAGAGGACTGTTATACATGTATAGGATTGGGGGAGATGAAACAAAAGTCCGGAGAAGTTACTATGGATATGAAAGATGAATTTGGTCAAGCCATGCTCATAAGGATGGTTCAACAGGAGGATTTCAGAAACTTCCTTTTCTTAGGGCTGAAGCAAGTAGCTTCAAATAATAAAGCAGCCCATCCTGTATCTTTTAACTTGGTCTGCATACGCTCAGATATCCAAACCCAAGCACACAGTATTAATTTTACTTTTATCAAAGCCACTGTCTCTGTCCTCAACAGAGGTTTCAATATTTCGAGTAAACGGCTCAAAGGGATGGGATCCTAGCCAGTCTTGGCAGCCAAAAGTTGACTTTTGTTTTCACAAACACAGGCGATCCAGGGGTTAGTGACCCAACATAAGCCTTACTCCTAAACCCACATGTTCCTTTTCCAGCTCATCATAGTCTGCCATGCATTTCTAACCCTGTGTCTGTTTCATCGAGTAGGAACTAGTCTTACCGATGACATGGGCAAGCCTGAGAATGAAGAATTACTTGAGAATAAATAATTGAGGTCTTGGTGGCAAGTGTGGGGCAAGGAAAAAAAGGAACAGAGGGATTCCTTCTCCACTTCATTTGTTGTCTTGTTTCTTCCAGAGTCAGTGCCCATGGCAGTCATCATAGGTGTGGCCGTTGGAGCTGGTGTAGCTTTCCTAGTCCTGATGGCCACTATTGTGGCTTTCTGCTGTGCTCGCTCCCAAAGAAGTAAGTCCTTTTTCCTTTTGAGTTCATTGACTGTTTGTCATGTGTCTGATTAACGAAACACTTAAAAGGACTTTCAGGCACATTTTTTCCTAAAAGCATTTATTAAGGTTACAGAGACGTCAGTACGGCATGGTGGAAATGCTTAGATCTGGCTTCTTCCGTTACACATACATTCTAATCATTTTTCCACTCCCTTGTTTTGGGGTCATGGTTCACATCTTCCAATTAACTTGGAAGATGTGATTTACTTCCGGTTTCTTTTTCCCGGGCTATCCTTATTCTCCTCCCTTTTTCCCTGTTGCCTGGTTTAACTATAAAAATACCAGACAGTTCTGCATATTGTCAAAGCAAGAATATACAGTATTTGCAGCGTTGACACTGTTACTGTGGAATCACATGCAGGACCCAACAACCGATGAGCAAGACTCACTGCAGTACTTAATTATTTAGTAGTGCGTCCTGGAAGGAGGTGGGGGGGGGTTCCCTTCCAAAAGAATAGTGGGAGACACAGCCCTGCAGACAAAGAGATGCGTTCGTATTTATAAATTTCAGACGAGAGGGAAAAATGATTCATTTATACATATTCAAAAATAATAACATAACGGGCCTGAGGTTACTTCTGTTATCTACAGAGAATGATGGTCTTAGTTAGAAGAATGGGTCAAGCTATTCTCCAAAGCACCTGAAGGCAGGACAAAAAGCAACGGGTGGAAACTAATCAAGGCGAGAAGCAAGCTAGAATTAAGGATAAATTTCCTGACAGTTAGGACAATTGATCAGCCACCACCACCACCCCTAAAAGTCTAATAAACATCTCAGACCTGCCTGAATATCCACCTTTCATTTCTACTTCTCCTGAAGCGTGGAGAATACATCAGAACTGTGCATTAAATACTTACAAATGCCTAGCATTTATCTCATCCTGAAAAAAAAATATGTTTTGTTTTAGGAGATTGCAGGGTTTGGGAGAGTTGTCCTTCTAAATGAAATAAGCATTTAAATCCCATGTCAAGCTCCAGTTGGCTTTCCAGTCCAGCTGGAGAAACAGATGTTAAAACAAAAATAAAAGATTCCCAGGGATAAACAAGAGCTGCCTTATTGGAGAGCAGCGTGGGGAAGTTCAAGAGTGATGGTTGTGTGAATCTAAAGGCAGCAAACCATGGAATGATAGCTCTGCCTGCTCTTGGAAGCCAAGAAAAGAAAGAAGAAAAAAGAAAAAAAGAAAACCCATCCTTTCTCTAACTTTAAGGAAATTAGAAGACAGCTAAGCCAAATGCACTGCAAAATACTTGCTTGTGTTGCTGAGAACAAAGAATAAATAATTAAAAACAGCTCTTTTTAGAGCGTTTACAGTGAAACCAAAGAACCCTGGCTTCTCCCAGACTTATTAATAAATGGCTGGGCTTGCATACATGCCTGATTTTCAGAGCCATCATCGTGTTTTCTTCAGCTTCCCCTCCTCCACCTTTCATAACACTCCCAAACCCCATTAGTGACTCCTTCAGGTATTAGCAAATTAAATCTCTGGCAGTCATTAATCTTGCATTCTGGTTAAGCACTGTTTTTGATGGATGGGTACACGACCAAAACCTGAGAAAGGGCCAATTCAATTTCACTGGAATCATCCAGCAGCGAGGTGCCATTCAGTCTTTGCGCGATAGAAAATGGGCCAATTCATTGTTACAGCATCAGTGGTCAGACACAATCAGCCTAGTTTGCATATTCTCCACTGCCACCCCCCTCCACCCACATCTCTCTCTCTCTCTCTCTCTCTCTTCTTCAATAACAGATGTGATACAAACTGTATCATTTCTCTGATTCATAGGTGGGGGGAAAAACAGAGAACAGGTGGCTCATTACGTTATTTGAAGTAACCAGATGGTGTTGGGTTGCTTTGCAAGTCTTATAGCAGGGGTGTCAAACTCGCAACGTCACGTGACGTGTCGCGACGTATCGCGACTTTCCCCCCCATTGCTGGAGCTGGGGTGGGCGCAGTTTCGGCATGATGCATCCAGCCCACGGGCTGGCAGTTTGACACCCCTGGCTTATAGTCTATCCCTAGTGCATGTGATGAGGTCAGCTCAAATATGAAGCTACAATGCTAAGGTTTAGATTTAGCAAGCCAGGACAGAGAAGAAGTGGTCAGTTGGAAGTTGGCGCCATGTGGAGAAGCTAATGGCATTCTAAGTTCTGGTTCTGATAAACTCCTCGCCTGTCAGCAACAACAACATGAAAGCTGATCATGAAACCAAGGAGTAACAGAGTATCAGATGACAACCCATTGTGAGTACGGAATACTAATGTTTCAAAGCAGTGTTGACCTCTTGGCAAAAAGCAACATAAGGAAGAAGCTCTGCCAAATTTGCACTCATCGCTACTACTGCAAAGGTCCTATACAACCATTGATGGTTGGGTTGGGTTGGGTGTTTTTGCTGGTGGAATATTATTTAACAAGATGTCTAATGATGGCTGACAATTACTGACAGTTGCTAAAGAAACAGGCAGCCTTTCAAAAGGTCTGGCCCATAATTGGTTAGGGGTTTGCTGGTCAACAATTTTGAACTCTGCAATGAAAATCACTAGCATTTCAAATCTGGGATAAAATGTGGTCAACAATTTTCAAGAGGAGACTAACATAAAATGTATTGTATTAAAGAGTTTCCTTGCACATGACAATTTCTCCAAGATGACACATGAAACCTTGGGGCTTCCCCATCTCAGTTAACAAAACCGCAGTTTTAAAATGACCCAGATGGAGTCAAGCTATTCTCCAAAGCACCTAAAGGCAGGACAAGAAGCAGTGGATGCAAATTAATCAAGGAGAGAAGCAACCTAGAACTAAGGAGAAACTTCCTGACAGTTAGAACAATTACCCAGTGGAACAACCTGCCTCCAGAAGTTGTGGATGCTCCAACAATGGAAATTTTTAAAAAGAGACTGGACAACCATTTATCTGAAATGGTATAGGGTTTCTGCCTGAGCAGGGGGTTGGACTAGAAGACCTCCAAGTCCCTTCCAACTGTATTATTATTGTTGTTGTTGTTGTTGTTGTTATGCAGGTATTTCCATGCTCTCATCTCATCCCAGTTCCCAAATCAAGCTTGCTTTTCTCCCTCCTTCGTAGATATACAGTATTATCAATTGCAAATGAAGTCTCAAGAGGTCTTGACAATCCCTTTGGGCTTATAAAAAAATTACTGACACACACAAAACCATCACAGCCATCAGTAAAAAAAAGAGCATCTTGTCAGCAAGAATTAGTATTTAAAATTACTTATATGCATCAACAGTCTGCCCTTTGAAAATCTAATTAACCCAAAAATGTAGAATTTGCAAATGACCAACTGAGATGACCTGGTAGAGTTCTCTGGGGGAAAGGATCTCCAAAACAAATATAAACAAAACAAAACAAACAAGCTTTGGCTGAGAGGTCTCATCGCTTCTGAGACCCTCCCAGGCCTATGAATACATTCATAATTAAGAATAAGGAAAACGGAAGGCATGCATGTAAGTGTAGGAAAATGACACTACGTTGCTTTGATCCTTTGCCAGCTGAAAGGCCACCTCGTTCCACACTGGGATTTGTACTGTAAGCCTAACAGGCACCGCATAAACTCGCAATTGTAGAAGTCTCTGGAGAGCCCAATTATTCATATCATAGCAGTAGGATTCATTCAAGGCAAGAGAAAGCAAAAGAGGCTGCAGAGCTGACCTCGGTCTCAGGAGACTTCTGCTGTTTCGGTGCTGTCACAAATTTATTGCCCGCCAACCAAAGCAGCAAACTGCATACAAGGTATTTAAATTAACATAAGGGTTATGTTATGGATGTCATGTTCCTTGAGCCCGTTCCCTCCGTCTCCAGCTCGGCCGTATTTAGTATAACAGCAAGATTTGGCTCACTTCTATTCTCCACCCAATTAAATCATAGCTTTAGACAAGTCTCCATCACAATTTTCATCAGCCCCATCCCTGTCATTGCTACTGCTACTCCTACTGCCGATCTTGATTTAAAATCAGCATTAAAACACAAACAATAGACGGTAAATTAAAAAGGCATGAAATGACACACTCCTTGGAATAATCGAGGGGAAGAATGGGGGGGGAACCAAAGCAAAGCAAAAGGACGCCAACAGACAGAAAGCCTGGATGAAAAGAGAGGGTCTTCAAGAGGAACTTAAGGGAGTCCTTCTAAGGGTCTCCACCAAATTCAGAGATGGCATTCTAGGGTGCAGGCGACCATATCTAACATTCAGTATGAGTGACAGAGCTGGCTTTCTCATATGATGGAGTCTAATTGTTACCTCAGGGATAAAACACGGGGAGAAAATGGCAGCAGTCCAAAGGTTAGGGAATTACAGGACTCATAGCCTGGCCTGTGTCCCCTAAACTGACCTACTATTTTTGGTGACAGAGAAGAACTCTGTTTCATTACAAGCATTGAAGACCAATTCAGCTTTTTTGTCCAGCATCATCATTTCACATCTTTTTTAATATTCACCTCAGGCAACAAAATGCCAAGGGCTGGTCTTCACCCTCTGAGCACCCCTGAGGGCCTTGCTAATCAACCTCATAGTCCAGTGAAGATAACCAAAGGCTTTCCAAATGTTTTGCGCTTTAACTCCTACCACACCAACCAGCATGGACAACGATAAGGGACTGTAGGAGCCGGTTCAGCCTTGTAGTAAGCCACTATCCTTTTTTCTTCTTCCCTTTGGTGTCTGAACTACAACTGAGCTCTTGCCAGATTTATTTAACTTCTGAACCAAAACATTCTTCTGTCACCTTTTTTTTTTTTTTTTTGCAAACAAGAATTAACATGCCTTCATTGGTATACCTAAAGTATACATGCTCTTAATCAGAAGAGGTGGGGAGCAAATAGAAGGAGTAAACCCAAAGAAATGCCTTGCTGAGATAAGCTTATTCTTTCCCTAATAAACTTTGATTTATTAGAAATGAAGACTTTTACAAGCCATGGTATTTAAAGAACCAGAAACCCACAC